AGTGGCGAGTAGCGAGTGAGTGGTGAGTGAGTGGTGAGCGAGTGGTGAGCGAGTGGTAAGGAGCGAGTGGCGAGTAGCGAGTGAGTGGTGAGCGAGTGGTAAGGAGCGAGTGGCGAGTAGCGAGTGGCGAGTAGCGAGTGAGTGGTGAGCGAGTGGTGAGCGAGTGGTAAGGAGCGAGTGGCGAGTAGCGAGTGAGTGGTGAGCGAGTGGTAAGGAGCGAGTGGCGAGTAGCGAGTGGCGAGTAGCGAGTGAGTAGCGAGTGAGTGGTGAGCGAGTGGCAAGGAGCGAGTGGTGAGTGTCGAGTGAGTGGTGAGCGAGTGGTGAGCAAGCAGTGAGCTAGTGAGCGAGTGTCGAGTGAGTGGTGAGCGAGTGGTAAGGAGCGAGTGACGAGTAGCGAGTGAGTGGTGAGCGAGTGGTGAGCAAGCAGTGAGCTAGTGAGCGAGTGTCGAGTGAGTGGTGAGCGAGTGGTAAGGAGCGAGTGGCGAGTAGCGAGTGAGTGGTGAGCGAGTGGTGAGCGAGTGGTAAGGAGCGAGTGGCGAGTGTCGAGTGAGTGGTGAGCGAGTGGTGAGCAAGCAGTGAGCTAGTGAGCGAGTGGCGAGTAGCGAGTGAGTGGTGAGTGAGTGGTGAGCGAGTGGTAAGGAGCGAGTGGCGAGTGGCGAGTGAGTGGTGAGCGAGTGGTGAGTGAGTATCGAGCGAGCAGTGAGCAAGCGGTGCGAGAGTGGTGAGTAGCGAGTGGTGAGCAGCGAGTGGTGAGTGAGCGAGTGGTGAGTAGCGAGTGGTGAGTAGCGAGTGGTGAGCAGCGAGTGGTGAGTAGCGAGTGGTGAGTAGCGAGTGGTGAGTAGCGAGTGGTGAAGAGCGAGTGGTGAGTAGCGAGTGGTGAGTAGCGAGTGGTGAGCAGCGAGCGAGTGGTGAGTAGCGAGTGGTGAGTATCGAGTGGTGAGTCGCGAGTGGTGAGTAGCGAGTGCGGAGGAGTACCGGCCGTGGTGAGTGTGCTGGTGGGAACGGCGCGAGGCTGTGGTGAGGGTGTGCGTACAGCCCCACCGGGAGTGCCAACGGCAAGGCCTCCATCCTGTGCCATCCACGGGAGACAAACACGGACGCACAAGTGTACAGGTGAGTGTGCAGGTGAGTGTGCAGGTGAGTGTGCAGGTGAGTGGTTAGGTGAGTGTGTAGGTGAGTGTGTAGGTGAGTGGCTAGGTGAGTGTGCAGGTGAGTGGTTAGGTGAGTGTGTAGGTGAGTGTGTAGGTGAGTGGCTAGGTGAGTGTCTAGGTGAGTGTGTAGGTGAGTGTACAGGTGTGTGTACAGGTGAGTGTGTAGGTGAGTGTACAGGTGAGAGTACAGGTGAGTGTACAGGTGAGTGTGTAGGTGAGTGTGTAGGTGAGTGTACAGGTGAGTGTACAGGTGAGTGTACAGGTGTGTGTACAGGTTAGTGTACAGGTGAGTGTACAGGTGAGTGTGTAGGTGAGTGTGCAGGTGAGTATGTACGTGAGTGTGCAGGTGAGTGGCTAGGTGAGTGTGTAGGTGAGTGTACAGGTGAGTGTGTAGGTGAGTGTGTAGGTGAGTGTGTAGGTGAGTGGCTAGGTGAGTGTGTAGGTGAGTGTACAGGTGAGTGTGTAGGTGAGTGTGTAGGTGAGTGTGTACGTGAGTGTGTAGGTGAGTGGCTAGGTGAGTGTACAGGTGAGTGTGTAGGTGAGTGTGTAGGTGAGGGTACAGGTGAGTGTACAGGTGAGTGTGTGGGTGAGTGTGTAGGTGAGTGTGTAGGTGAGTGTACAGGTGTGTGTACAGGCGTGTGTACAGGTGAGTGGTTAGGTGAGTGGCTAGGTGAGTGTGTAGGTGAGTGTACAGGTGAGTGTACAGTACAGGTGAGTATACAGTACAGGTGAGTGTGTAGGTGAGTGTACAGGTGAGTGTACAGGTGAGTGTACAGGTGAGTGTGTAGGTGAGTGTGCAGGTGTGTTTGTAGGTTAGTGTCTTGGTGAGTGTCTAGGAGAGTGTACAAGTGAGTGTGTAGCTGAGTGTGTAGCTGAGTGTGTAGGTAAGTGTGTAGGTGAGTGTACAGGTGAGTGTACAGGTGAGTGTCTAGGTGAGTGTACAGGTGAGTGTACAGGTGAGTGTACAGGTGAGTGTGCAGGTGAGTGCCACCTCGTGCTCCGAGTCGCTGGTGTCCCCCTGAGCGGGGGTGGCGCCACCGCCCATGGGCAGCAGCGGCTGCCCCATTCGCGCCATCCGGGAGATCAGCTTCGCCCTCACCGAGTCCGGCTGACTCTGCACCCGCAGGCAAAGACAACGGTTACCCACCCCGCCATGTAGCCTGCGCAGAACCGTTGGGGCAAGTGCCGGCACAGCCCGCCGGATCGGCGGCGGGCGGGCGGGCTCGCAGGGCCGGCCGTCGCGCGCCGGCAGATGCGCTCCGAAAGATTTGGCACGTTCGGAAATTGCCCGGCGATTTCACGCGACGACCCAGCAGCAGCAGCAGCGGCGGCGGCCGCGATCGCCGCCTCCTAACGGCTACCCTGGCCCTCTCGAGGTCTATCTCAGGTTTAACAAATAGAACCTCACTCATCTCACTCACGAGCTCGCCGACACACCCCCCCCACCCATTCACTCACCCACCCACCCACCCATTCACCCATTCACCCACCCACCCACCCATTCACCCACCCACCCACCCACCCATTCACCCACCCACCCACCCACCCACCCACTCACCCACCCACCCACCCACCCACCCATTCACCCACCCACCCACCCATTCACCCACCCACCCACCCATTCACCCACCCACCCACCCACCCATTCACCCACCCACCCACCCACCCACCCACCCATTCACCCACCCACCCACCCATCCACCCACCCACCCACCCATTCACCCACCCACCCACCCACCCATTCACCCACCCAGCCACCCACCCATTCACCCACCCAGCCACCCACCCATTCACCCACCCACCCACCCACCCATTCACCCACCCACCCACCCACCCATTCACCCACCCACCCACCACCCACCCATTCACCCACCCACCCACCCACCCACCCATTCACCCACCCACCCACCACCCACACAGTCACTCATCCAGCCAGCCACCCACCAATTCACCCACCCACCCACCCACCCATTCACCCACCCAGCCACCCACCATTCACCCACCCACCCACCCATTCACCCACCCACCCACCCATTCACCCACCCACCCACCCATTCACCCACCCACCCACCCATTCACCCACCCACCCATTCATTCACCCATTCACCCACCCCCCCATTCACCCACCCACCCACCCATTCACCCACCCACCCATTCATTCACCCATTCACCCACCCCCCCATTCACCCACCCCCCCATTCACCCACCCCCCCCATTCACCCACCCCCCCCATTCACCCGCCCCCCCATTCACCCGCCCACCCATTCACTCACCCACCCACCCCCCCATTCACCCACCCACCCATTCACTCACCCCCCCATTCACCCACCCACCCATTCACTCACCCACCCACCCACCCGCCCACCCCTCTCACAAGCCGAGACTCCTACCCGGGGGCCATGTTGCGTGCCCACCAGGTCACACCAACCCCAGCGCGACCTCCCCCCCCCCACGATCCAGCAGCACCGCACCGACCGGGCGAGACGACCCCACGGGGGCGCGGGGGGCCTCACCGCACTCACCGTGAGCTGCTCGGTGAGCGAGTGCGACCGCGACTTGACGGATTCGTCCGACCTGCGGCGACACGCGGAGACCACGCGCTTCCAGCCACGCTCGCCGTAACGTCTCGCCCCCACCGCTCACCCCCCCCCGCCCCCTCCCCTCCCCCCCCCCCCCCACAGAAACACACAGAGACACACAGACTCACAGACATCCACAGACACACAGAGAGACACACGGGCTCACACAGAGACCCACAAACTCACACAGAGACCCGCAGACTCACACAGAGACACACAGACTCACACAGAGACCCACAAACTCACACAGAAACACACAGAGTCACACAGAGACCCATAGACTCACACAGAGACACATAGAGTCACAGAGACCCATAGACACACACAGAGACCCACAGACTCATAAAGACACATAGACTCACACAGAGACACATAGACTCACATAGAGACACAGAGACTCACACAGATCCATACACTCACACAGAGACCCATAAACTCACACAGAGACCCATAGACTCACAGAGAAACATAGACTAACACAGAGACACAGACTCACACAGAGACTCACAGACTCACACAGAGACCCACAGACTCACACAGAGACACAGACTCACACAGAGACCCACAGACTCACACAGAGACCCACAGACTCACACAGAGACCCACAGACTCACACAGAGACCCACAGACTCACACAGAGACCCACAGACTCACACAGAGACCCACAGACTCACACAGAGACCCACAGACTCACACAGAGACCCACAGACTCACACAGCGACCCACATACTCACACAGAGACACAGACTCACACAGAAACCCACAGACTCACACAGACACAGACACGCATAGACTCACAGAGAGACCCATAGACTCACACAGAGACACACAGACTCACACAGAGACCCACAGACTCACACAGAGACCCATAGACTCACACAGAGACCTACAGACTCTCACAAAGACACAGACTAATACAAACCCACAGACTCACACCGTCGTCACCGTCGTGGTGTTGCCTACCCGGGGGGGGGTGGTGGCGTTTGTGGGGCGGTGAGGGTGGGTGGTGCCTCGCCCAGGCTGGGCGCGGGCGACGGGGAGTGGCAGTCACGGAGGTCCGTGGTGCCGGCGTCACGGGCAAACCTCACCTGGGAGGGGAGCGCACGGAGAGAGGGGAGAGGCAGGAGAGTTCGTGGAGGGGAGTGGAGTGAGATGAGAGAGGAGAGGCAGGAGAGAGCGTGGAGGGGAGTGGCAGGAGAGTTCGTGGAGGGGAGTAGAGTGAGATGAGAGGGGAGAGGCAGGAGAGTGCGTGGAGGGGAGTAGAGTGAGATGAGAGGGGAGAGGTAGGAGAGTGCGTGGAGGGGAGTAGAGTGAGATGAGAGGGGAGAGGTAGGAGAGTGCGTGGAGGGGAGTAGAGTGAGATGAGAGGGGAGAGGCAGGAGAGTGCGTGGAGGGGAGTGGAGTGAGATGAGAGGGGAGAGGCAGGAGAGTGCTTGGAGGGGAGTGGAGTGAGATGAGAGGGGAGAGGCAGGAGAGTGCGTGGAGGGGAGTGGAGTGAGATGAGAGTGGAGAGGCAGGAGAGTGCGTGGAGGGGAGTGGAGTGAGATGAGAGGGGAGAGGCAGGAGAGAGCGTGGAGGGGAGTGGAGTGAGATGAGAGGGGAGAGGCAGGAGAGTGCGTGGAGGGGAGTGGAGTGAGATGAGAGGGGAGAGGCAGGAGAGTGCATGGAGGGGAGTGGAGTGAGATGAGAGGGGAGAGGCAAGAGTTGGGTTTGGGGGAGTCGGGGGCCGGGTTCGTGGGGGGAGCGAATGCGTTGATGCTGGCTCCGTACTCGCTTGATCTCCACGCGGAACGCCAGGGAGCTGTTAGCGGGGATTCGGGGGGGCAAGCCCTGGGCCCCGTATCCCAGGGGGGCCGGCACCAACAGCAACCGTCGGCCGCCCTTGCCCATTCCCAGCATGCCTTGCTCCCAGCCCTGCGACGTCACACAGATGTAACATTATTAAACTCGTTCGTCGTGAGTCACATTTTTCTTTAGAATTTTAAACGTCATCTGAAAAGTTATTCAGATCTTTCTAATGTCCTGCGGCCTATTCAGGGCCTTCTGTCGTCCCACACGAAATCCCGCACAGAATTTGCTTTAGTAGTAGGTTTTTACCCTTTATACTGATACAAAACTGACACCTTTATACAAGGCATCATGTTTGCAATAACCGCAACACAAGCAGTCAAAATGCAAACAAAAAGAAACAACTCTGATAATGGTAATGATATGCACTGTCCTTGAAGTTGATTGGTACCAGTTTAAAGGGTAAAAACCTACTACTATATTTTGCCACTGGTAAAGAATTTGCTTTCATCAACGGGTGAAGTTATTTTCACGTCATTATTCAAAGTAAAAAGTCATTTCGCATTTTTACCTTAATCACTTTTCCTTTGCCCAGTTTCAGCCGCATCATTTTCTCCTTCCCGACGTTACTGTCAAACACCTGCACACACACACAGACAAAGGCCCCCCGTGTAGCCTTGAACAAACTGCTGGGCCAAGTGCAGTTACGCGAGCAGCACCTACGGAAGCTGGCACGGCGCACGAGGGGGTGGGTGGCCAGCACCAAGCCCTGCCGCCTTTTCCTCCCCAACGGCGATGTTTACTACACAACGTGCCAGGTACTCATTTGAGGCAGAGTGGACCTAGGGGAGGCCCAGAACCGGTTCAGATCATCGTCACTGGCGTCAGCCGTGAGCGGGAATCGAACTCGGGTCGCCGGGTTCCCTAACCAGCCGCACACACGCGCACTCAGAGAATTTGGCGGCTGCTGTTCAACAATTCCACGCGGTGACGACGACGACGACGACGACGATAAGCCACTTGCCCGAGCTATCATTTGCCCGCTTCTGGGTAAAATAAAAACAATTTAAACATTCGCAACAGTTCAAAAGTGTGTTGCGATCACGGCGTGGTGCGCGTCACCTCTCCCAGCGCTCCGCTCGGCTCCAGAATCCAGCCCGTGTACTCCACCTCCAGATTGTCGCCCGCCTCCACGCCCTGACCTTCTCCAGGCCGCAAATCCTGGGTCAGGGCCTTGCCGAGCTCCTCCCGGGGGGTGGCTTGCCACTTGGCCAAACACACCTGCAGATAACAAAGACAAATTTCGATTTAAAGCTTCTTTCGTGACTGCAGGGATTCATCTTCTTGGTTCTTTCGGTAAAGTCACGTAGAAGGGAAGTAATAAAATAATAAAAAATAAAACATAATAAAATAATATAATTTTATTATATAATAAAATAAATAATATTATATAATAAAATAATAATATCATATTGTTATATTTCGATTTGAAGCTTTCGTGACTGCAGGGATTCATCTTCTTGGTTCTTTCGGTAAAGTCACGTAGAAGGGAAATAATAAAATAATAAGAATAAAACACAATAAAATACAATTCTCACGACGTTTCGGCCACAACGCAAGCAGCCGTCCTCAGGTGAAGAACAGGTCTGTCGAGAAGACACGAAACGTCGTGAGAATTATTTTCGACAGACCTGTTCTTCACCTGAGGACGGCTGCTTGCGTTGTGGCCGAAACGTCGTGAGATTTGTATTTTATTGTGTTTTATTCTTATTATTTTATTATTTCCCTTCTACGTGACTTTACCGAAAGAACCAACAAAAAAAACCAAAGATCCCCCGTGTAGCCTTTCAACAGACTGTAGGGGCAAGTGCTGTTAGCAAGCACACGAGGGGGTGGGTGGACAGCGCCACACTGCGGTGGCGATGTTTACTACGCACCGCACCGGGTACACATTTGAGTCCGAGTTGACCTAGGGGAATCCCAGGACCGGTTCGCAGATAATCGTCACCGGTGTTGGTGGCCGTGAGCGGTGAATCGAACTCGGGTCGCCAGGCTCCTAGCGCAGCGCTAAACGCTACGCCACCGCTCCCCGTGGTAAACAAGACGCCTGCTGCTGTATATTTGGAGTTTGCGTGTCTCTCTCTCTCATTATCATCATCACGGTGGCTAGGAGATGTTAACTACCTCGCCTGGTATACACGAGGTCGTGGGTTCGATCCTGACCCTAACGCCTGCTGCTGTATATTCGGAGTTTGCGGTGTCTCTCTCCCTGTGGTCACATGAATTATTTTCTCTGGGTCCTCTGTTTTCTTTCCCTTCACGTCTACTGACGACGTCGCGCGTTCAGATTATTCCGACTGCCGCTGTCAATCTCCTCCGCGCGACGCTTCTGAAATAGAGGTCGCAAATGGGTTTTGATTCCTTACCCGTACCCGTACCTGGCCGCACCAGGGTCGCAAATGGGTACCCGTACCCATACCCGGCCAGGTACGGATTCCCGTTCCCTACCCGTACCCGTACCCTACCCGAAATGAGTGACAAACGGTTACTCACCAGTGACTCACGGCCTACCCGTACCCGTACCCGGCCGCACCAGGGTCGCAAACGGCTACCCGTACCTGGCCGGGTACGAGTAGCCGGGTATCGGGTAGGGTACGGGTATCGGGTACCCGGTTGCGACCTCTGTTCTGAAAGCGAGCGGCAAGCCCGACACACGCAAGAGGCGGCAGGCGCGTGCGCGGCGAGCGATGCGGCAACAGACCTGGGTGGAGAAGTCCGATGCGACTTGTTCGTTGTCGAACATTATCGACCAGTTCTGGCGCTGGTCGTCGTAGAAACTGGCATAATTGTTGGCTTGCACCTGCAACACAGCAGAGAAAGATTCCCGCGCGGGTTTAGCTCGGTACCTCTTTTTTTTTAAAATCCTTTATATTAAGTTCACTTGCTTGCTTGCTTGCGCGCTTACGACCGTGCAAATCTTTCGGTCGTTTTTTAACCCACTTCCCGTGATCCAATCGAGCTGACATTTTGCACACAGACTCGTTGTGCGTGACAATTTATTTTCGTGAAAACAATTTTCCAAAATTTTCCACTTTTTAGGAACATTTTTTTTCCATATTTAATTTAAAATACCAATGTGATAAAAATGAAACTCTTACTCAAGAAAAACAGAAATGAATAATAAAATAAAACCGATGCCACGCATATAAAGGATTTATAGTGAAAAACTTGGTTTTTACGGGTTAATTTTTTTCCCACTGCCGCAAGCGAGCCGTGCCGGGGCCGTGCCGAGCCAGCCCAGCCCTGGCATGGCTCTTTTCCACTGCAGAAAGCCGAGCCGTGCCGATGACGTCGCACACGCGCGGTGAATGAGCGGACACGCGTGTGGGTGACGCGGTGAAGGAGCGGACACGTGCGTGGGTGATGAGGTGAATGAGCGGACACGCGCGTGGGCGACGCGGTGAATGAGCGGAGATGCGTGTGGCGGACGCGGTGAACCGGTGGCGAGTCCTGATCGTGGTCCTGTTTGACCCCAGAGCCAGACTCAGACGTCTTGCGGGGCCACGGTTTGGCTCTGGCTCGGTACGGCAGCAATGGCAAGCCACCAGACTTGGCGACTCACGCTTTTGCAAGGCTTACGCTGAATGCGAAGGAGCTGTGGATCCTGGCGCTGGTCACAGTTTTCCTCTGCTGCCCGTACAACAGCAACTTGTACTGCAAGAACAAAAGACAAAGATCCCCCCGTGTAGCCTCAACGGACTGTCGGGGCAAGTGCTGTAAGCGAGCAGCGCTTATGAAGGCCGGCACGGCAAAACCACCATCTCACTCATTCACTCACTCGTTCTTTCATTCATTCCCCCACCCACCCACTCACCATCTCACTCATTCACTCACTCGTTCTTTCACTCATTCCCCCACCCACCCACCCACCATCTCACTCATTCACTCACTCGTTCTTTCACTCATTCCCCCACCCACAAACCCACCCACCATCTCACTCATTCACTCACTCGTTCTTTCACCCATTCCCCCACCCATCATCTCACTCTTTCTTTCACTCATTCCCCCACCCACCCACCATCTCACTCATTGACTCACTCATTCTTTCACTCATTCCCCCACCCACCCACCATCTCACTCATTCACTCACTCGTTCTTTCACTCATTCCCCCACCCACCCACCCACCATCTCACTCATTCACTCACTCGATCTTTCACTCATTCCCCCACCCACCCACCCACCATCTCACTCATTCACTCACTCGCTCTTTCACTCATTCCCCCACCCACCCACCCACCATCTCACTCATTCACTCACTCGTTCTTTCACTCATTCCCCCACCCACCCACCCACCATCTCACTCATTCACTCATTCGTTCTTTCACTCATTCCCCCACCCACCCACCTACCATCTCACTCATTCACTCACTTGTTCTTTCACTCATTCCCCCACCCACCCACCCACCATCTCACTCATTCACTCATTCGTTCTTTCACTCATTCCCCCACCCACCCACTCAGTCTTGCAAATGAGACTCCTATCCTAGCCTCTTGAGTTCTTACCTGGGTCACGCAAAATCAACCTGAACTCACTCACTCATCATCATCTCACTCGATCACTCAACAACAACCGCCATTCGCCACTAAGTGGCGGTGACGTCACCACGACGCTTGTGCCAGGCCAAGTGCACCTTGAGGCCACGTGAAGTGTCGAACGCCCGCTGGCAGGAGGTCACGGGGCAGACCCAGCAGGTGCCACGGGTCGACTGACCGAGATGACCGAGATGACTGGCTGATGCACCACCTGTGCCCCCTACTGTGCCAACTTGCTGTGCTTTAGCCACCCGGCGCTCTGCTCGTTGTTGTGAGCGTCGCTCCTCCGCCCTCCGTTGTTGTTGGAGGGCGACTGCCTCCAACTGCCCAGTAGCGTCCTTCACGAGCCTCCTCCACTGAGGCCGATCTTGACACCGCTGGTACCAGTCATCGGCAAGTCCACTCAGCTCCACGTCCTCCTGTACCACGTCACTCCATCTCTTCTCTAGCCCGTGCCGCGCCCGTTAAGCCCCCTCGATCCGGCCGAACAAAAGCTGTTTAGGCATGCGGTGGCTGGGCATGCGGGCGACATGACCCAGCCAACGCAGCATTGCCTCACCCACCCACCCACCCACCATCTCACTCATCTTTTCACTCGCTCCCCCAACACTCACTCACTCGCTCTTGCAGACGAGACTCCTGGTCACACAAAATCAACGTGAAACTTGGACGTTACTCACGTCTTTGGCTTCGGGACTGCCCAACAATGCCAGTCCGAGTTTCCCTCGACTTGCGTACTGCCCATTCACACTGGAGAACACAAAGACAAAGATAAAGATCCCCCGTATAGCCTTAACAGACTGTAGGGGCAAGTGCTGTTAGCGAGTAACACCTATGAAGGCCGCAACGGCACACGAGGGGGTGGGTGGCCAGCGCCACGCCCGACCGCCTTTGTCTCCCCAGTGGCGATGTTTACACACCGCACCAGGTACTCATTTGAGGCTGAGTCGACCTAGGGGAGGCCTCGGACCGGTTCAGATGATCGTCACTGGTGTTTGCCGTGAGCGGGAATCGAACCCGGGTCGCCAGGTTTGTAGTGCAGCGCGCTAACCGCTACACCACCGCTCCCCAGTAGTGCAGAGAACACACACACAGACACACAGAGTACACTCAACACCGTCAATGTCATGGCCATATCGGTATCAACGCCGTCAATCCGAGGGGGGGTGTTCGAGACGCAGAGAGATTTGTAATACCCGTGACGAAGGTTTTTAGTGGGTCAGATCGCGTGAATATCAATGTGTCGTTAAACCCTCCACCACCCAACACAGCCAATCAGTAACGTTTGTTCGTTTCTCGGTCCGCTGTCCCCATAGACTCAACACTACCCATAGACTCAACACTACCCATAGACTCAACACTGCCCATAGACTCAACACTGCCCATAGACTCAACACTGCCCATAGACTCAACACTACCCATAGACTCAACACTGCCCATAGACTAACACTGCCCATAGACTCAACACTGCCCATAGACTCAACACTGCCCATAGACTCAACATTACCCATAGACTCAACACTACCCATAGACTAACACTACCCATAGACTCAACACTGCCCATAGACTCAACACTGCCCATAGACTCAACACTGTCCATAGACTCAACACTGCCCATAGACTCAACACTGCCCATAGACTCAACACTGCCCATAGACTCAACACTGCCCATAGACTCAACACTGCCCATAGACTCAACACTGCCCATAGACTCAACACTGCCCATAGACTCAACACTGCCCATAGACTCAACACTACCCATAGACTCAACACTGCCCATAGACTAACACTGCCCATAGACTCAACACTGCCCATAGACTCAACACTGCCCATAGACTCAACACTGCCCATAGACTCAACACTACCCATAGACTCAACACTGCCCATAGACTAACACTGCCCATAGACTCAACACTGCCCATAGACTCAACACTGCCCATAGACTCAACATTACCCATAGACTCAACACTACCCATAGACTAACACTACCCATAGACTCAACACTGCCCATAGACTCAACACTACCCATAGACTCAACACTGCCCATTGACTCAACACTACCCATAGACTCAACACTGCCCATAAACTCAACACTGCCCATAGACTCAACACTGCCCATAGACTCAACACTGCCCATAGACTCAACACTACCGATAGACTCAACACTGCCCATAGACTCAACACTGCCCATTGACTCAACACTACCCATAGACTCAACACTGCCCATAGACTCAACACTACCCATATACTCAACACTGCCCATAGACTCAACACTGCCCATAGACTCAACACTGCCCATAGACTCAACACTACCCATAGACTCAACACTACCCATAGACTCAACACTACCCATAGACTCAACACTGCCCATAGACTCAACACTGCCCA